GAGGCCGAGGCGAGGCGTTGCTGCCGCCGTCCCCGTCCCCATCCGCACCCTCCCCGATGGCGGGGAGAGACGCTCTCGGGAACCCCAGGGCCCTCCCCCCGCTGTGCTGGTGGGCAGGGGAGGACAGAGACATTTGTCCGTTTCCCTCCTCTGGTGGCCCCGGCCTAGGCGCGTGGGTGCCCGGTGGCCCTGGCGGCGGAGGCCTGGCTCAGGCCTCCCTCTGCCGCGGCCTTGCCGCTGCCTCATACGGCAGAATGGTCGCAAGCACCTCGGGGACACGCCGCCCAGAGTCTGAGGATGCAGGGCCTGAAAGCTAGCTGGGTCCTGGGGAGAAAACAGGGTGGGAAAAGGGAAAAGAGGCCATTGTACGTCGCTTCCATCAGCTCACAAGTCTTGGGCCAGCGGGGAGTATCTTGTCAACCTAAGAGCGGTGCCTGCATCCAGGCAACACGCCATCAGCCTCAGCCTCCCAGGCCCCACAGCAGGCTCGGGAGTTTTTCTGGCTGATGCCTCCATGCCTTTTCTAATTTCAGCTTTCTGACCCTCATTTCAGCTGCTGCTTTTGCTCCTACAGAGTCTCACATCCTGTGGTTGTCTGCATCAAGCCCAACAGCTTTTGTCAAATACCGGTTGATGCTTGGCATCTGATTTTTCTTAATGAATAAGAGAAATGTATCAAATAAGGGCATACAAGTGGTTGTTGAGTCAGACAGCACGGCAGTCCAGTCTCTGGCAGTGGCAAGTCCCTGGGGAGGTCACCAGTACTGAGCAGAGTAAGGACAGGAGCATGGGCAGTATATACCAATATAGCTTCAGAATAAATCGCTCAGCTGCAATGTGTCCCTGAATTGAGGCCTGCCCCCAGGGGAAACTGGTCTTCCAGGTGGCTGGTCTGGAAGTAAGTACTGACCCATCAGTGAGATCGAGGCTTACTCGGTCCTGGAATGCAATCGATGGATTTTGCAATGTCTAGATCCAAAAAGTTTATTGAAATTCCTGGGTGAGTCGCAGTGTCTTGGACTACTTCTAGGCTTGGTGGCACAGCAAACACCTAAGTAAGGGCACATGTCATGGGTGTACCAGTGGACTCCTCCGGAGCTACTGAAACAAGACAGAATGAGCAAAAATGCCTGCAACTTAAGCAGAACACACAGGCATGTTGCCAATCTTCAGGTGCTGCTGCGTTGTTGGTCCTCAATCAGCTGTCCACAACATGAAGAGCATACATGATTTGATGCGGATTAATGAAAGCAGATGGCATTGGCCGAGGAAACGCTGAAATGTGTTATTCCTCTTCAGATCTTCTAGGCAGTAGTACCTGGGAAGAAACTGTTGGAGCCATTTGCAGCAGAAATACCTTGTGGGTTTTCAAACATATTCTGAAAACCTTTAAGGCAACAGACAGGTTGCCCCAATCTGGGACGATACTGATCCTTGCAAGAGATCAGGTTATGTGACAGAGTGGGGATGTCTCTTTGGGGGCATGTGGACAAGCAACTCAACCTGGTGAAGTCCTGGACCCTAGTACCCAGTGGCCAAAGCCAACTGAGGCAATGACTTGAAGCAAAAGTCAAAAACCTGAGGTCAAGTCAGACAAAAATCAGTAACCAAAGACCTCACAAGGACAGGGACAATACGCAATTTAACTAGAGCCAGGGCAAAAATCAGAATGTCAGAATAACCCAGGAAGACACCAAGCACTGTCTAGGAAACAGAGTCCAGGCAAGAGCAGGACTGGAGCAGGACAAGTGCTGGGAAGTGCCGAAGAGTAGGGCACAGCAGGAGCTACTGGTGCAAAGACACGGATTTGGACAGAACAAGAGCAGATCAAAAGACCAAACGGAAGAGAAAGGAGGAGAGAGAAGCTTTCCCCTAAAGTCCTGCCTGAGAGACGCACATCATCAGCTGGCTCACAAACTAACCTCACTGAAGCTGCTTGAAGGGCTGGGAGCCGAGACAAGTCATATCAAGAATTCCTCTGATTTCCAAGAAAAGTCATTCACGGTCTAGGACACTTTGCATGTTTCTTTCTAGGTAACTTTTAATGCCAGTAAATGAAGGCCAGCAACAGCCAGCCAAAAAAACTCCGGCAGACACCTGCCAAGGTGCAGTGTCATGATATGCTGCCCCTATAGCAATGCCTGTTCTTGCTATTCCATGTTTCTTCCCACTCCTTCCACTCTGCCCCACTGATGATGCTAACACAGCAGCAGGTTGCTGGCTTTGAACCTGAGAAATGGTCAGATAGAGAAAAGGTTTTTAAATGCTGGACAAGTTCCCTGGTTTGATTCACAACATAACCACAAACATCTGTATTACTGCAACGGAGGGAGGAGCACAGGGGTAAATAGATTCCTTCTGTAAACCAGTACTGTCGTCAGAGCTGACATACCATCAGATCGTAACTGGAGAGTGCAGGAAGAAGTACTAACTTTTATCAATCCTTTAAACTATTTTGTCAATGAAAATAGTAGTAATGTAGAAAAAAGGAAGAAACCCCAGGCTTATATCCATGCCTGACATCAGACAAAAGGCCTGCTTTCCTAGAGGACTTTTTTGCCAACTGCCATGTAGAAATTGCCATGATCTCTTACTAGAAAACTAGATTTACCTATGCTGGATTAAAAAAAAGATGATGTTATAGAGAAAAAGGAGTTCCGCTCTTTGAGAATCTGTTGGCAATAGCCTTCTATCTGCTCCGTGTGCAGCAACAAGCCTTTGCCGGCACTTTATCCACGCGATGGTCGTCTTGGTTGCAGTCATTCAGGATACAGAAGCACAGCTGTAAAAATAACTACCAAAAGATCCTTTAAAGGGTGAGACTTGCCTCATACCGTAGCTGTTGAGACACGCTCCTTACAGAGTCCTATCTGGCCAGTCTTTTTCAGGAAAAAATCTCCAGTTTACCTCAAACATCATCAGTCACCTGAACCACACAACCAACCAGATACCAAAAGAAAAGAAAATCCTCTATGAACTTTTCAGCCAGCCATGCTGAAGGGAAGAGACCCAACGCTGGCCAGGAGATTCTTACGGTTCCTGAATGATTCATTGTTCCCACACTCTGCTTGGATAAAGACTTTTCCACTTAAGACCCGTGGCTCATTCTGTGTTTTTCAGGAGAACGTGCAGCTTTGGGTAGGGTCCTTTAGAACTAGGATGTAAAACATTTTCGTTCACCTCGCTTTCTAACATCTAAGAAAATACAGGATTGGTATTGAATTCGGCACTGGACACATACTCCAATCCGTACTTTCTAACATATGGAATGGTGATTTGGGCATCCATAATTCACTCTCTGGAGCCACAGAACAGTCCCCGCTGGTGCTGGGG